CTTACTGTTCTATAGTTACAATATTAAAATCCGCGGCGCGAAGCCCAATTACTTACTCCCAACGGCTTCGGCAAACAAATTCGACTTTATATTTTTTCACTTTACACTTCTGCCAACGTCTGCCGCTCCTATCTTAATTCCTAACCAACAAAAACCCTATAATCACCGTTTTCGTATGATAAAACGCTGAGACTAGGGGTATATGAGATGCACTACACAAAATACGTTTTCCGAATTGTCATATGAAAAAATGCTGCGTTTCTGTTTCAGCATATATTTACCGATTTTTCTTCGACCTAGGGGCCATGTGTTAAATACAAATCACAAGAAAGTACTGTTGCATTGTCAATGAGACTCTCAGCATCCCGAATGCGAGCGCGTGGTTTTTGTCTTTGACGGAGATACCGCGTCACATACCTTTCCCTTTTAGTAAAAGATTTACGCAAACGGGATTTGTCCTCGAACTGTGAATGCCAATTTCGCCAAGCGAGTTGTGGAAAAACGATCATTTTCAATCATAAGACATTTATAAATCCTGTTCAACTCGCGTTTCTTTTTCAGTACCAATGTAATTCTACAGGCCCGATAATGAATGGCCGAAAACATATGGGTTTGTCAATTGGACTTTTTAACTTATAAAATTATTTATCATACTGGCACATAGACGGCTAAATTATGGAATTATCGGCAGAGGTATGATTGATAGCGCAGCTTATACACGCTTAGCACTAGTCCTGTGTTTTACGGGAAATAGGCGGGGAAGTAGGCAATATGCTAATTGTGATTGTGGAAAGGTAACGAATGACAGCTAAGATGTGCTTCGGCCGATTTATCTATACATTTTCATTTTGCCATTACCGAGGAATCTTTTTCCCTCAAAGAGCAGTACGATGGTGTACCCCAAAAATAAAATTTAAGTTTTTACTTCAAATTTATTTCTGATATTACCTCTTAAAAACACTACTTCTGCACAACATACACTCAGTTGGGTGATATGCACTAGTCCTAACGGATTTTTTCACTGTTCAAAATTGTAT